TTCTTCCACCTTAGAAACATTAGCAAGATAAGGGACTGCCTATCTCTAGCAGATACTGAAAAGCTAGTTCATGCATTCATTACATCTAAGCTAGATAACACCAACTCGCTACTATACGGACTGCCCAAATTCCTGATAGATCGCTTACAAAATGTCCAGAATGCCGCAGCTCGTGTCGTCACTCATACAAGAAAGTACGACCATATCAAACCTATTTTAAAGCAGCTGCACTGGCTCCCAGTTAGCCAGCGCATAGATTACAAGATACTACTTTTGACCTACAAAGCGCTCAACGGCCAGGCCCCTAGTTACATCACTGGACTGTTAAAGCCTTATGTAACGACCAGAAATCTGAGGTCCTCCTCTAAAAATTTACTTAAAGTACCATCTGTTAAGCTAGCAAGTTATGGTCATAGGTGTTTCTCTTTTGTAGCACCAACTCTATGGAACTCTCTTCCAAACAACATAAGAGTGAGCGGGTCGCTATCACATTTTAAGACCTGTATAAAGACATACCTTTTTAACAGATTTTATAATTAGACTACTCCTTACTGAGCTATTTAATTATATAAGTAGTAAGTTAGGCCGCTAGATAGTTAGCTAGTAAATTAACTGATTAGTTGGTGAGCTAGTTAATTGGCTAGGAAATTAGTTAATTTCAATATGTTTCAAGTTTTTACTCATTATTACAGACTACCTTATTAGCTAGTTTCTTTTACTCATGTTTTAGAGATTTTCATGGTTTTTTTAATCTTATCGGTCCGATTTACAAAGTTACTGTACAGCGCTATTGGATAGTGATAGAAATAGCGCTATATAAATACCGTACTATTATTATTATTATTATTATTATTATTATTATTATTATTTTAAAAAAAGATTTGTACGGCTAACTCTTTTTAAGAATCAGGGTTAAAATTTGTCAATTTTTTTACGCCTAATGGCTAAACCTTTTTGCTGTTTACGGCTAACGGGCAGCCCCATTCAGAATCTCGGTCAATGTTGCGTCAAGGGAGGGTAAGTGCTCAGTTGCTAAGATACTGACATGGATCCTTTCTTTCTGCCTAACACATGCTTGGTTTTTGTCAACTTTGAACAGGACTAGATATATGCCTTGGTGAACCACTTGACAACGCTCTTCTCCACTTTATTCGTAATGATGTTCAAAACCTCATCGATTCCTTACATCGCAACGAAAAAGAACAAGATAAAAACATGAAAAGCGTCTGTTCTACTCTTGCCATGATTAAGTCCGAGTTTGAAAGAGCTATCTTTAGCATCGAAGAGAAACAGTCAGATCTGCAAAGCGTTTGTAAAGATTTGGAGAAAAGGCAAGATACGATTACAAGACAGATGGAACAGAAGAACGAGGAACACATGAACCTTTTAAAAAGTTCTGAGATTAACTGGAAGATGCGGCAAGAACAATTGGAGCTCCGCTGTAACTCTCTAGAAATTGAGGGATCGGCCATGCAGAGAGATTTGGATATACTGAAGGAAAAACTTGAACGTTCTTCCCTTTCAGATGAATCTAGGGAGATTGTATTTGATGCGCCAGATCAAAGCAAATGGTTCACAGGGCGAGAAAATGAACTATCAATTCTGGAAAAATGTCTACAATTCGAAAAAAGCGGCGTATTAAACATGGCAGCCATATGCGGTCTTGGAGGATGCGGGAAGACCACGTTAGCAGCTCACTTTGCATGGGAACGTAAACCGGAATACGAAGGAGGAGTGTTTTGGATCTCCATGGAAGATGACCATACGTTTGAAAATTCTCTGAATGACCTTGCTTTACGTTTGGGATTGCTCGCGGATTCATTTGACCTAACGCTGTCTAAAGTGCTCAATTACCTTTCAAGAACCAAAAAGCCATGGTTGTTGGTGCTTGACGATGTAGACCAGCTTAACCTCTCCAACCAAATGCGAAAAGTTTGTTGTGGAGGATGGAGAAGGCAAGCTTTCGGTCATATCTTACTCACTACGAGACGTAAATCGGGAGAAGTCTGTGATTCTTTTGACGTAAATCTATCCAATTGCGTGGAGTTGTTTTCCTTTTCAGAAGACGAATCAGTACGTTTTCTTGTTTCTCGAAGTGGTCTCGTAGATCCCACAGGACAAGAGGAATTATTGAAAGAACTTATTGGTGAGCTCGGTGGTCTTCCGCTTGCCTTAGAACAAGCTGGTGCTCACATCAAAGCCCTTCAATGTCCCATAAGCAAGTATCTTGAAGAGTACAAAAGCCAGCGATTAAAGTTGCTGAGCCAGCATCCAGCAAAACCATCGTCGGAGTACGAATCCAAAAGTCGGCTGGCAGTACATACCACGTGGCTTATTAACTTCGAGTACGTCAAGAAGTCAACAAATGGTGAAGCAGCATCAAGCTTTGTAAACGTTTGTGCCTTTCTGGAGCCTCATGAAATTCAAGACGAGATAATCGACGGAAAGGTGCTTTCCTCTGACGATAAGGTGCTAGAAAGTTCCTGTGGTCCTTTGATAAAAGATCACATCCTGGAAGTCATCACAAAGTTTTCGCTATTCCAGAGAATATCCTCCACGTCACTAGGCCTACATCGTCTGGTTCAGGAAGTTATTAGAACCAGAATGACTATGGAGGAAACCGCTTCTTCAATGCTGAGAGCTGTTCGAATCCTCCACAGCTGTTTTCGTCGTTGCCCCTCTCCAGACCAGATTGTTTCGAATGTAACTGGAAACGTAACAGAACAAGCATCTGCTTCTGTAACTGATCCTTCCTTGTTCTATCACTGGTCAAAGTTAACCATTCATGCTTCCCAGCTGCAACAGCATTTGAGATGCTTTCTTGATCAAGGCGACATTGGGAAAGAAGTGAAAACAGTCGTTTTAACTACTGAGACGTCCCGGATCATTTATGAAAACGCCATGAAGCTGAGCGTGTATGGTCATCAAGAGAAAGCCAAGGAAGCCGAGAGATTTGCATTTCAAATTTTAGATTTTGATACATGTGTGAGCAAGGTATTTTCTAATGAAGAACTTAGAAAGCTATTTCCACATACTCTTCCCCTTTCTCACATTTTTCAAAAAATTATTTTCTACTCGTCACGACCACCAGTAGAGATTCAGAAAACGTCTACGTTGGAAATCCAGAAGAGTGCAGATACAGAGCAATTCCGTTTGCAAGGAAACGAGTTTTTCAAAGAAGGTCTCTATGAAGCGGCAATCAGTTCTTACACTGAGGGAATTGAAGCAATACAGGGAGGAAACAACCCGGACCCCTTATTATTTAACAACAGGGCAACTGCATATCTTAAACAAGGAAAGTTTGAAAAATGTATTAAAGATTCCAACGAGTATATCAGTATTGTGCCTAACTGCTGGAAGGGATACACTAGGAAAGCTTTGGCACTGAATGGTCTTGGACAAAGACTCTCTGCCTTATGCTTCGCCGCTATCGCGTATCACCTTGATGGTAAGTGCTGTCGTCGTTACGAGCCTTTCAAATCTGCTTTCAGAGATCTGGATGGAAACTGGAATATTTGTGAATCATCAGAGGCTCTCTGCAGGGATGTAATGTACAGTAACAGCAGCAAGTCACATCCGAAAGTACTTCTTCTTCCAAACGGAGAATATTGGGTAAATAACTCACCGAAGCGTCACAACTCCAACACTGACTTTCAAGCTTCCATCAGTAACACAGTAGTAGCTGCTCTAGGTAACGATGCTAAGGTCACCATTCACTTTGGGAGACTTAGCCTAGAAGAGGATTGCTTTTTTCGAGGTATTAATCTCTTAACAGAGTATACACTCGTTGCACCCAATGGCAATGTCACGTTCGAGAACTGTCTCTTTTGGAGGAAAGGCTCAGCCGAACCTTTAGTTCATGTAAATGGAACGGCAAGGTTTCTTCACTGCACACTCAAGGGTAGCGGAGGTTGTGGACTAGTAGTACAAGGCCTAAATGCTTCAGCCCTGATGTTAGAATGTCATGTGGCTGGAAATGGTACGATGGGACGTTATGCCTCTGGGGTTAGAGTGTTTAACAAAGGAAGTGTTGCAATACATAAGTGCCACATTCACGGAAATACAAGAGGAATTTGGGTCGACGAAGAAAGAGCTGGTGTCTTAGCAAAGGAAGCCACAATAACCGACTCCGAGATTTACGACAATAAGTACGAGGGAATCCTCGTGGCCGGACTCCCCCCTCAATTCATCGTTTCGCTCCCCGTAGAAATTCGTGGAAACAAGATATATCACAACAGTACCTTTGGTGTTCGCGTTATGTTAAACCATAATGACGTCATTTTGGAGAATAACGTGATATTTGAGAACTTCTATTGAGGAGTTTACATCCACAGCAACTCGGGCGGTCTCTATAAGGGAAATGAGATCTGTAACAACAAAATGGGTGGCATAATGGCCGGATTTCAAAGTCCAGGAAAAGTCCCATGTGTGGTAGAAAACAACTACATACACGATAACTGTGGTCCTGCTTTTCATGAGGGACTTCGCACCTACGAATTATATTCTTTTCCGTTGAAACTGCGAAACGTTCTTATGTGTAGCGATGCAATAAACCGGTTTGTGGGGCAGCATCCTCTTGACTTGAAAACGGTTGCTCCTGATTTGGTTTCCGTGAGGTTTAAGCCAAGCAACCGATGTTCCGGAAATGATCATGGTGCAACAAATTTAACGTCACGCAAATTGAGAAGATATTGTGCCTTTTGCCTCCGAAATGATGTTGGATTGAAGTCTTGCAAGGGTTGCATGAGTGCGAAGTACTGTGGAAAGGAATGTCAGCTGAAACACTGGGGAAGGCACAAATACATTTGCAAAACCACGACTGAAAGACATTCTGTAGACGTTTCTTTACAAGTTTCTCACCCTCTCAACATGTTCTCAGTGTCTATAAGTCGGACCTACCCAGGTATGGAGCCCTCCGGCCCTGACTATGCACCGCCTCCACCAGAAGACGGAAGTCGTTTCATTGTTAAGTTGCAAACATACGAACCTAGAGTTGACATGGCGACAGGTAACATCGAAACAAGAGGATTTATCAGTGATGAACAGGATCCTCATAAAGCCACAATACGTGTGTATGATCGTAGCCGCCACATTGATTTCAAATTTAATGATAAACCTCAGCTTTATCACTTGATAATGGAGTGCGGAATGATGGGATTTAGTATGAGCATCACTAAAAAACTTTTCTGTTGGGCCGCATTAAAAGATTGCAAAACAGTTCGAATATTTACTCACGAATTCCCTCCAGCGCAAGGGTGGTAAACATAGTGGAAAACTTAACTACACTGACCTTAATTAAGATAGTGTTTGGATTATCCGTAGGAACGTTTTGACGGTACTTTAGGGAGATTCTTTCGTCTGGTGCAAGCTTAAGGATCTCTAAGAGACTGATGATTTATCTTCATGTTTGAAGTGATTGGCAAGCCCGCTTTGACTTAGGACTGGGTGGTCAAAACTAGCCAATTTATTCGTTCGTATTCATGAAATGAGGCTGATTTTTTTTTTTTCAAATATCCTCTTTTTACCCGTCGCCAGTACAGAGACATGATTGATAGTGCCATTCTCTGTGTATCACCATGGCTGGAGACACAGTCCTATCTAGGGGGAGTCGTGCTTTATGCATCGGATAACGTAAAACTTGTCTTAAGAAGGGATTTGGTACATGTGGTAAAAGTGCGAAGACAATAAGCGAATTGTTTAATTGGATGCGTCTACAAGGCTCCAAACGAATCCCTGGAGGTTCGCGACCAGGAACACTGAATTACCGTGGTAGATGTAATTGTTTTCGGTGATCTCAAGACTGCCTGTTAAGAAACCAACCTGAAGACATTAAGAGATACTGTAGAATTTACAATGAACCGTGACATCGCACAATTGATACAACATTCTACCCCAAGGAAATCGACAATTAGTACCGTTATTGATGTACCAATTACTTCAGTCTGTTTAAAAAAGTGTCATCAGTAAGCATTGTCTAAGCGATAATTATCCAATCGTGTCAAAACAGCTGGCTCTACCCATCCGTATTTAGCATTAGTATTTCATGGATAGGAAACACCGTTTAGTGTAAACTAATTATACTTTTCTAGAACTTGTGAATAGAAAAGGTTTTAATTAGAGCTTTATAAATTGAACTGATTACCAACAAGTTGAGACCAATTACTACTTGCATCCGGTACCTCCATAAATTTCTTTTGTAAGCAACTTTTCTGAGGAAATAAAATGTGCAAAAGTATCTGTTCAATATCATGACTATATCGTAAACGAGAAGTTGAAAAGAATTCGCTCTCTAAGAGCCTAGTAATCATGCATTAATTGCGCGAAAAAAGAAAAGGTCATTAGCACACAAGTCACCTGGATAATACCACACGAGACTAATAAGTGGGATTCTTTTGTTAGCGGAACTGTCATTTTTTTTTTCTTATGACAAAATGAAATTATAAACGAAGCACTAATTTATATTATTTATTATCATCAGCATATTTTACAAACACGATCTATAAAATCACAACTAACACAGTTTAAATTACGGTTCCCTTATTCTGATCATATCGAACAGGAAGATCTGAAGACTTAACAGTAATTTACATCAAAATCGTGTTTAGTGTTACAATGACACTTTGACAGAAACAAACACGTATGAATGAATGAATAACTTTATTAACGTGTCAATCGTTCTAGTTTTTACAAGTAAAAACTAATTGGGGACACCTACGTAAACTAAACTAATAATTATAATAATAATAAGAAGAAAAACTATATACAAACAATATAAAATTGATAAAATTAAATTGAAATATCGTAATATACTCCAAGTGGAAAACTATATACAACAGAACTCAGAAAGAACCTGGACCAATATTTCACCCACAAGTAGTAAGTGAATACTTTACGGTGCATAAATTGCATTTAACAGTGCAGCACCACACGAACTTACATCTACACTCAACCTGCTTGTTATGTTCTACCGTCCGATGTCGCAGACTACAAGAGTTACATAAAGATCTGCTCTTCTCCACGGATAAAACGTCACTAGCCCATGTCCTTCCTCACATTTCAGGAGAGCCAACCGTCGTGTTTCATACACAGTAGTTTGGAGACGAGTCCAGATAAACTAGTTTCTTCCGGCTTTCTTAGTCATCAGTCTGTCTCGGTCGTTGTCGCGCCTGTGAAGCTTTGTATTCACAAATGACACCCGGACGGCTGAGCGGTATCTACTTTTCAGCTCCTGTCCAACTACGTTAAAGGTTCCAGCTCTTTCCAGCATATTTTCATGTTACAGCTTTAAGTGACGGCAGGACATCTGCATACTTTTCTTAACTTTGCGCGGACAATCTGATATAACCAAGGAAGAAACATTAGAAACGCAAGATATGTATATAAATTTTTTCATTTCTAAGAAAAATCACGTTAGATTGCCATCACATTAAAACGAAAATGACAACTATGATCTTTTAATGACAGTTATACTTTTTAAATAACAGTTGACCAATATTTGAACAAACTAGAAACAATTACGACAAAAACTGAAACCCACCTTCCTTCCTACTTGATTATTATGCAGGTTGAATGTTGTACGAGCGTCGTTTCCTTTCTCCAGTTTGTCAATAAACTGTCTCGTCTCCTTCTCTCCAAACTTGATGTCATCATTGCATCCTCCCCACTGCCAGTCACCGTTTCCTTTTTGGTGTTTGTTCGTCTTACCGCACATGCATCCGAGTATTCTGTTCTGTCTACACCATAGGGTTAGTTCATGAGTTATAGCGGCTGTGCTAATGGTGTGAAGGAAAGCTGTTTCTCGAGTAGCTGCAATGAAAAATGAAACAACTTAAGGGTAAGTAAGGAGAACGGTATGAACAATCTAAAATTATATCTGAACAAGACAACAGACCCCTGAGGGGTTTAATACGAACCAACATAATAACCAGCTCCCAGTTTGCTTGTTGGCTCCAGTTGAACTACGAAAGCATCAACAATAAGGCAGCCCTGCATAAAAATCCGCGTCACTATGACTAACGTGTGTAACGTTTAATAAACCTTTAATACAATTAGCGATGGCGACACTACATCAACACAACAAGATCGCCCACGCGAATTTCCCGCTCTACTCCTTTTGTCCTGGGGCGAGGCTAGCCTCGTATCCTAGCAACGTTACACACCCCCCTCCCCTAGCGGAAGAAGGGTGGTATCAAGGTCCTTCTCTAAGAGAAAGTCTCTCATCCAGACAGGAGCACGACGGTTCCTATCTGAACGTCTAAGGGTCTGGGCAGGTTCAACGTTGTGGGCCTTCTGTGACCTCACCACAGCATGCTCTCCAACATTCAGATCCATTGATAGGTTGCCGACCTCCTCGGTGTCGCGCATTGTCGGCTGAAGTTCAACGGGCCTTGCGTGGTACGGCTTAAGACGGTTAAAGTGCACAATCAGTCTGGTCTTCCGTATCTTCCGCAAGGGGGCCACTTCCTGACACTGTATTCTGTAGGTGACGTCCGAAACGACCTTGACTACCCTCCATGGCCCGGACCAAGGACGATGGAACTTACGGTGCAGCCACCTGGGAACAGCCTTCTCCTCTAGCCAGACCAGTTCACCCTTTTTGTAAGGTCTTGATCTCCGCTTGCAGCGTGCGTCATAGGCATCTTTCTGGTGACGGAGATTGGCTGCTACATTCTTCTCCACTCGTTCCTGTACTTCCTTGAGGATTTCACGCTGTTTCTTCAGAAACGACGGGTAATCAGGGGATTGTTCTGACGGGGGTTCCCCTCGCATTGCAGCAATGGGCAACCTCAGCTCCCTGCCAAATATCAGCATACTGGGGGAGAACCCCGTCGTTTCATGGGTCGATGCTCGCAACGCCAGTAGGACCTTAGGAAGATGTTGATCCCATTGCTTTTGTTCCTCTGCAATCTTGGCAATGATATTAGTAACCGTACGGATAAGCCGTTCCGCACCCCCATCACACTGAGGGTGGTAAGGAGTTGTCCTCTGTTTGACGGATTCAATCAAGCTGCATAACCCACGGAATGTGCGCGACTCAAAATTACGGTCCTGGTCACTGAGCACTCCACGAGGGCAACCGAAGCGGCATATAAAGTTGTCCATAACAGCGTGCGCTACGGTTTCGGCCTTTTGATCAGGTAGGGCATACGCCTCGGGCCTCTTGGTGTAAATGTCGACCACAACCGCAACGAACCTGTTTCCCTTGTTGGTCTCTAGGAAGTGGTCCAAGAATGTCAATCTGAATCCTCTCGAGTGGATAACCAGTCCTAATGGATTGCATAGGTGCCCTCGGTCGAGGAATTGGTCCATTTCTGGAACCACACGTGCGACATGTTTGACAGTACAGTTCGATATCCACAGTATGGCCAAACCAGTAAAACCGTTTCCGCACATTGTCTGTAGTCTTACGTACTGACAAGTGTCCGCACTGGTCATGTAGCTCCCGCAGCAAATCTCCCTTCAAATGCTGTGGGACACACAACTGTAGGTTTTCGCGTCCGGTCTTCTCGTCGAACCATCGCCGGTACAACAATTCATCCTTTAAC